CCCCCCCATCCCGCCGCCGTCCCCTTTCAGTCGCGTGATAAATGCCCACACGCCGAGTGCAAGCCGCCGCAGGGCGTGGCGGCCGGCGGCTGCCCGGCAAAGGATTGCTGCCCAGTGTAGTGTGGAAGGAAGATGACGTCCTCCTTCTCCTCCCCCCCCCCCTCCTCACCTCCCGCCTCGTGCCAGTTTTTCCCTCGGCTGCCGTTGCAAGAGCACGCGGAGGAATGATGGTCCGTTTCTGTTTGAATCTAAACTATGTACAAGTAGCTCGGCGGCGGTCCTGCCGCGCGCCGCACCGCTGCACTGCTGCTGGCCGCCCTGCCAACTGGTGTCGCGTCGATGGAGTTCTTCAGTATGCCCGCCCGCCCCGCCGCCGCCCGCCTCTCTGCCGCGGCAACTTCAATTTGAACCTCCCGCCCCTCTCGCTGTATGTATATGTAATCTTGTCGCCTGCCTCTCCCTCGCCCCCCCCTCTCTCTCTCTCTCTCTCCTTTCCGGCTCCGCTGCGACGCGCGACGCCTACATGTCTACGAAGTAATGTTCTCGCGTGCTCTATCAAACTTGCGCCGTAGCGACGCTCTTTGTCTCCCTTTCTCCACTACTTGTGCCCTCCCGCCCCCTCTCTCCCTCTTTCCCCGCCCGCTCTGGATGCCGTACTGCCTCTCGCGCTTGTCCCACGATATGATGACAGTGTAGTATAAAACAGATCGTGTTCTGCGGCGCGAGACAAACCGAGGGAAACGCACCTTCCGGAGAAAAAGAGTGACCATTTACAAACTCAGATGGTAGAGAGGCAGACGGGGAGGAGGGGGAGGGGAAGAGAAGGGCGGCGGTAAGAGGTCGTTAAACAATTAAGGAGTCGCAGTCCGCGAGGTCCGCGGGCGGGGCGCGCGCCACTTGTCTCTCGTGTGACCTGCACTACTGTACACTCGTGCAAAAGCGCGCGGCGTCGCGCGGATTTGTCAAGCCTGGTTCAGTTGATTCCCCGGCGGAGTGGAGAGAGACAAAGCCGGCGACGGCGGCGTGGGAGTGAGAGCGAGGCGTGGCGGGGCCGTGGCGAAAAGAGTGATCGCGGAGTCGAGCGATCATCGCCGCCGCGGACGGAAGGGCGGGGCGAGGCGGGGCGGGGCGGGGCCGGCGGGATTGTGGGCAGCCGGGCGCTCAGGCTGAGACGGACGGAGCGGGCTGGCCTCGCCCCCCCGCCTCCCCCCGAGAAAACATTTGCGCGTAAACGTGTCGCTGCTAAACTACCCATTAGCCCGTAAAGGCCCGTGGTGGGGCCTAAGGGGGCGCCCGCGCCGCCCCTCCCGGTAAAAATGGTACGTATGGGCTGGCGGTGGTCTCGTGGTGGAGAGCGGGGCCCCCGGCCCGGCCTCGGCACGGCCGCAGAGCAGAGGCTGCGCGTGCGAGCGGCGCCCAGGACCGCGCGCTCTCTCTCGCCCCCGCGGCCGCCGGCCTGGCGTGACGAGGACGGGGCGACTCCGCGCGCCGCGGACGCAGCGCTCGGCTGGCGCGGCGTGGCGCGGGGATGTCGGCGATTGCTGCGGAGGTCCTGGGGCCGGCCCGAGGCCCTGGCTCGACGGCGCAACCGCCCGAGTCCCGAGTGTTGCCGAGCGCGCCCGAAGCACGCCGAGCCAGCGAGCACTGCGCCCTGTGGCGCGGCGTGGCGTGGCGCGGCGCT